TATATATATATATATATATATATATATATATATATATATATATATTTCGAATCTCTGAAAAGTTCCGAATACGAATATAATGAGGTCACTGATTCCATAATGTGCCGAATCGAAAATATAGTTCGGAAGAAACTGCACTTTAATTTCAAAGCCCCCCCGAGAGCTTACCGATAACCTGATCCTCTCCCTCCCCTCCAGTTTTCCCCTAATTACCCGTTCTGCTATAATCGCACGGTACTATTTATTCGCTGGGGATCACGCAGTAAATTCCCGCCTTCCGACGTGTGTACCGGCGGATTCTGCCGGTTGATTGCAAATTAGAACACGAACGGGCGTGTAAGCTTATCGGGCAATATTGCGCATTTGAGTCTAAGTGCTCGCGCAGAAAGGAAGTTATGCCGAATAGCTCCTCGATTGGTACGGAACGTACGGCAACCGGCGGTTTACGTGATTGCGTTTATTAGAGTGCGCAAAAACCTCATATTTTTAAGTAACTTTATGTAGCTGTATGTCACGTAAAGATAGCGTTACTAACGTCAGATCGCGTACAAAGTGTATGGGAGGAGTTTGAAGCGAAATTAGTATGTATATATGAAAAAATGAAGAAATATAAGCGATTAGATTTATATAAAAATTCACGTATCTTCCGTATATTTATTACTACAAACGCGATATCTTCTTCTCTTTACAAAGCGTTTAACTTAATCCTTACGAGCTCGTCGTAATGTTTATCACAGATTTACTGGTTACAGAAGGTATCGTAAAAACGTACCAGTCGGCTCCCGCGACTATTACCTTAATTCCCATACTCGCGCGTTTCGCATAACATCTAAATTTCATAGCTCGGCACCGCGACAGGCAAGAGCGCCTAGTCGCGTCGCGTAAATGCGCGCGCCCAGGCGAGCGCGCGTGCATTAAATACCATACGGAATCGTACGGCTTCTCGCGCTTTACGGAGCGCCCGTGAGGGGACACGAGGAGAAAAGAGGGTGAAAGGGCGAGGCGCTTATTAAGTTAGTCTCGGAGATTTCTGAGCGAGCGCAACGTACGAATTATACGATGCACCTTCGTGCGACGCGCTGCAACGCGCCGAGCAACGAGCGGTGATCGCCGCGAAGAGCGAAGACGAAGACGAAGACGAAGACGAAGACGAAAACGAAGATGAAGACGAAGTCGCCCAAGATGAGACTAGACAACGACGGCAACCGGGTGGAAGAATGATGACCACGACGACGACGAAAGATGACGATAACCACGGACGAACGCCGTCTACGTCCCCAGCCGGGGTGAAAGTAATAATAGTGAGACACACACGCGTGCATACGCGAGGAACCGCGCGCACACCGACGCTAGGCGACGTGTATACGTGAACTGGTGTTTAAGTCATTTTTCGATACGCGCGCGACCGGTACTTAGATGCACGCCGGACTCTCCGAGCCGCCCGCTGGGCTTTCCCAGAGAGGAGAAGCCACCGCCGAAGATGCCGCGTCCTTGAGAAACTCGAGGAGGCCGAGGACGGGCACGGCACGGTCGACTGCCGCGACGACAGAGAGAGGAGTGCGGGAGGGACGATAATCGTAGAACGGATCTTACGATCTATCCTCCGCGCGAGACTCGATCGATCGTCCAAGACGCTTGATCGTCGCTACCTATGCCTCCGTGTGTGGATGAAACGAGGCCGAAACGGCACAACGGGCTACTTTCCTTTCAACAAGTATATATCCCTTACTTTCTATCGCCACGGAAAACGAAAACGTCGAAATGATTTTACAGAACGAGTATTTTTGCCTTGTGGGGAGACCATTAAAGTTCAACAGATACATTCAATATATATTAGATTTAACAATCTTATAAGGCTCAAATGATTCAAAATTGATGAATAAATAAAAATACCGCAACAAGATTTTAGTGTCACTATATTTAATTAAGCGACTTTAAGTTCTAATTGTATACTTATGCGATAATGCGTGTTCTGCGACTTTAAATTTTAACTTTTAAATTGATGTAATTTATTTAATTTTTGAGGCACTGGCCGAATGTTAGGCCGAAACGTATGTTTACGTTAAATAATCTAATTTGACTTAACTAAATATTGTGACACACTATAAGACCTTGTTGCGGCTCTGGGCTCTTTTCACTTATTTATTGATTTAGATTTAACACCCGATGAATTTGAAAAATGTTCCTTATAAATGGTCCTTATAAAATGTGAAATTTTATAAGAACGCTTTATTAATAAAAATATAGCAAACTATTACTCGATCTAATTGCGAGAACATTATAACATTGACAGCGTATGCCGTCGCAATTATGTACTATTAACCCAATTACGTTAGTAAATTCTCCAACATGCGCAAAATAACTAATTGTTGCTACCGCGAACATGATAGTTTGATTCGTATATGAGGCACAACATTCAATACAGAATAATTAAACGTTATCATTATTTAACAACCATACAGAATTCATTTCACATCAATAAATTATGACTTCCGTCGTTTCAACCTAGCCGATAATATTTTTCATTTTATAGATCAACAGACGTAATTATAAATTATACATATATATATACATATATATATTTATAACAGAATTAAAAGAAATGTTCAACAAATTACATGAATCTTGCTGGTGAAATTTCTCTGACAAGAAGAGCCGCGGTATTTCAATTGTTCGTCAATTTACGAGTTGTTAGATATTGTGAAGTTATTGTTACGAGGGATACACCCCGGAAATTGTTAACCGCGCTCGCTATTGATTTACAGGTAATATCATGTTTAACCGTCCCTGCGGCGTAATAGCATAATTGACGTTTTTAGTGTTTAAAACACATCGATTTTCTGCACCTTGGCAGTAGTATGGAGCGATCCTTACCCGCCGCATTCCCCGTGAGATACCGCCGATTAACGCGTCCATCAACGTGGCTCGTGTAGGTGAAAGGGCGCTGAAAGCACGCGGACAAGATACGTTGTTCCCTTATGCCACTTTCATTTCTGCGCTGCATCTCGCGACGCGCGCGCCTTTTTTCTCTTTCCTCTCGTCGGATTTTTCGCGTTTTCGCTTCTCGTATTCTGAGCGCTGGTAAACGAGCCTTTGATCATTTGGGACGACAATAGGCAATGACGAGAATCAACGCAGACGCCGGCGAGAGTTTCGAAGAGCATCTAGAATGTCTCGTAAATAAATTCGCGATATCGCGCGAAGTCCGGCGATATATAGATTCGGGCGGTTATGTGTACGTAGATGTACACCGTAAAAGTTGGAGCAAAAATCGGGTCACGACAAAATATTTTCTTGGATTCTCTTCTATGTGTGCGTGTGTCTTTTCCCTTCGTGTGTGGCCCCTTCTCGCTGCGAATCTTTTCTTTTTTGCGTACACGTATGCGCATGTGTATATGCGCTGCGTGTGATGGACCAAAAGTACTTCAGAAGCTTCTCGTGTCAGGTGGGTGTGCAGAGCACTCGAAGGTGCCTCCAAAAATTACGGACGCTTTAGTGCCCTAGCGGGCGAATTTAAACGAGAAATTCGCATCCGTCAAACGGGGTTGAAAAACAGTAAAAACATACACATCGCGATAAAAAAGGAGCGGAGAGAAATAAATTATATACGGTGGTACGCCACACGTCGAGATAGAAGGGCAATAGCGGGCTCGCGTTATCGATTCCCTTGACCGCAAATAAAGTCGACGAGATCGAGAAATATTGCAAACGCAGCACACCAGAAAATAATCTTTAGATCATATGGCCCCGTAGCGTTAATAATAAGAATTAATAAAATAACTGGAGCCCCCTAAACGTCAATTTTGTACATTCCATTATCTTCGGATTACGCTATAGAGAGAAGCAATAACGTAATATTGATTTTAATATAATAATATAAAATAGTATGTCAGATTGTAAAATGAGAAAACTGCAATAAAAAAGCTATATATTAAGATAAGACGACGAGCTTTATAAAGGACTGGCGCAGCAAGCCGCCTTCAATATCTCGGATTAACCCTAAATCAATATTTGATAAAATATCGGGAACAAAATTTCTCGTTTTAATATGTCTTTTCATCACTGGCAAACATAGACGATTAAAGTCATATAAAATTTATTAGTCTTTTTTTCGTACGCTCATTTTATAACGGTGCGAGCTTCAATATCGGTATTGCACATTCCAATCGACGTGAAAGAAAAGTACCGCGATTTTTTGTCTGTAGGCCAGAAACCTAAATATTCGATCAATATCAAGAATATATAATATAAGAACGGATAAAGCTAACCGTATCCGGAGGATACGTTTCGCAGTTCAAATATTATAAATCATACATAGATAATTTTGATTAAATAAACGGAATTATTTTATGATTTTCTTTTAAAACACTCTACAAAACCCGTTTATATCTTTTAAAATAGAACCAATAACATCTAGTTACGTTACTAAAGTAATAACGTATAGTTATTTTATCTTAATTTATTTTACATTTACAGTTTTCAAATTTTAGTTGTGGTAAAACATTATCTTTACTTACGTGTGCTCTTTCAGTATAGTTTCGATCATATTCGTCGCTATAGACCAGATGAAAACGGAACCGTCCGCGGAACCGACCGCTATGTACTGCCCGTCAGGACTGAAAGCGGCTCTCGTCCAATCGAATCCCACTTTGAAACCGTCAGCGCTGTAAAATAAAATTAAAAATACGACAATTTACTACCTTTAATATTCTACTTACGCGTATATGACAAAAATGTACGACCTACCTGAACGATCCGACAATCTTCTTCATTCGTAAATCAATCAGTTTCACCGTGTCATCCCTCACGCAACTCAAAAGGTAATTTGCGTCTGAAATCAAATGGAGATTCCTTTATAATTCACAATCGTGTACAAGATTGAATAATATTTAAACTGTTTGCGTGGAATGTTTGCGGTGTTGCAACGTCAACCGAGCAAATATCTCGTTGTGCATTGAACACATAAAGCGTCAAGTAAAAACGCATCTACGGGATGTACGAGTGACGCGATAATTCTAAACGTTAAAAGATCTAATTACGGTGCAATAAACTTGTATAACGAGTTGCGATTCACCGTGCCATTGAAACGATTCGTTTGTAATTTTCTTCCATATCGTATCGATCTGACGAGGACTGATGCATAGAACCATTCGGGGGTTATTTCTACTCCCTTTTAAATGAATATATAACTTGGAATAATAAAAAAAGATATTAGAGAGGCGGCCATATACCTGCTTAACTGCAGAAGTTAAAAATCGGACCAATATCGCTCCACTTGAATTCATTCCGCGTTCTGGCAATATCGGAATTAATGAAATGCGATAGAACAATATATCTGAATGAAGTACTCTTGTATGAACGTTGCGCACTTGCAGCTGATACAAGTGCTTTGAGAATACTGCAGAATCGGCGCGAGCCAATTCATTCACGTCATTAGGACGTTGCGATAAAAAGCGAAAACGAAATAACATTATTTGCGTAGCGCGAATAAAATCCATAAATGAAATGCATCGCGTGTAGTTGCCGTAAAATGCCAATTAATATCTTTCGCGGTCGTATTAATTATCCGACGGATAGATACGCGTTATACCTATGCTGTACAAAATTTATAATATTTTATATATTCTATAAAATATTATAAATTATACGCTGTCGCCACTTAACGCTATAATTAAAATAACTGGTTCATCACTTTACATCTCTCCAAATACTTAAGGTATTCTGGATTAATCTGGTTCGTGTTCAATTAAAACGAAGAAGTACAGTTTTGCTTCGATGTTTAAGTTTGTATCATTCGTGTAATTTGTAGTTGCGAATTTATAGTTATGAACTAGATGAGATCAAAAAGTTTTCCGTTGGATATTCACATTTTATTATCTTATTTTTAATACTAATATTATTTTATTATTGATAATATTTTAATATTAATAATATTTTATTATTAATATTAATATTAAGCCACAAAAATTTATATTGTTGCAAAGCCAAAATCTATATTTTTATAATCGTGTTTAGTATATTTTTTCTTTCTATTTCAATCGGGATATGAATAAAATCTTGCAATATATTGGAAATTATTACTAACTTTAGTTCTGTTGAAAATCTGATTCATAAAATAAATAATACAAATAAAATATAATACAGATGTCAATATTCCCGATTTTACGGCGATATTTTTATCAAATTGCATATTTTATATGAATAATTAACATCGCCATGATAATAACCAGTTATTATTCTATTTGACATACCTTAATCGATATTGTAAAATGCATGAGCAAATTGTATGTAGCTACATATTATAGAATCAAAATCTGCTCTGATAATAGACGTATAATTATTATCGTAACGATATCAAACGTAATCATTGCATTGGTTTACAATCCGTATTAAATATATTTACGGAATAATATGCTGCATTAATCCGAATTTCGGCGAGCATATCAATACAATTACATCTCGTAATACACAACAAAAAATCTCGCAATTATTGGTGCTTCAGCATGTGTGTTCAACATTTTAAAAAGCCTTTAATTCGACACTAAAATATTAAAATAACCTTAACTTTACTTACCACGGGATAAATCTAAAGATGTCACTTTCCCTTCCAATAGAATGTCATTTGAGCTGGATTCGGCTCTGGTATCCCAAAACCTGATCCTTTGATCAAAATGACCACTAATTATCGTAGAGCCAGCTCCGTCGGAAGTTACGAGATCGTTGCAACTTGAACCAGCGAATTTCGTTTCTATACCTGCAACACAAAGTTTTTTTTTACCCTCAAAAGATGCATTCATGCAGTCAGACCGCAATTTTATCGTTTGATTATGCATTTAATTAGAGAATTAAAGAGTTAGAGAAATCAAAATTGAAGTGGAAAACTCTGATATTGATTAATCCACAAGTGGAAGAGGAGCGGGCTAATTAAGAGCCAGGCGAGGGTAAACGGTGCGCAAAATTATTCTATATTGTTAAAAATTATTCTCCCGTGTGTTTCGGTCTTAGTTTCGGATCATCCTCAGCACTATCAATGCAAATAAGTTATATGAAGCGTGAATTTCCGAATAAACTTCGCGTAAATGTACAGTAAGGTGCGTTAATTCGCTCGGGTCATAGTAGCCTGACTTATCGGCATAAAAAAATGCAAGGTGAAATAAAAAAAGAGAACTGGTTACTTCTTATTCTTCTTTTAATATTTCGATGAACCGCGCATGGTGTTGATTATTAAAGCAAATACCCAGCGAATTAATGCACTTTACTGTACATCAAATACGGAATAAACAGCAAATATACACATAATCGTCGGTGAAAACGTGCGTGCTTAATAACGGACAAGCATGGATAACCTTCTTTCCGGTTTCATTTATAAAGAAAGATTTTATATGTTGGAAACAATTCAAATGTTCCAACCTTTGACAATTAAGCAAGTTAGCAATTTAATTAGAAAAATAGTTCTGAGGAATAATAATCCTTCCTCTTTTCGTTCAAGTTAAAATTGTGTATAATTTCATAAATGAATGAATGACAAATACATGCAAGAATTAATTACGTAGATCTTTTCTTTTTTCAAGTATCTCCAACATTAACGGACAATAATTAATAATAAATGCTTTAATAAATTCTTTATCGTGTAATCTGCATATAGTTAAAAGATAAATTATACAGTGCAATAATTTATTGTGCATGTATCGTTACGATTAAATCGCGATTAAAAAATTATGATTCATTTTTTTATACTAGATAGAATCTTTTGATACGCAAGCCTTCAGACGTAAAATTTGTCTTTCAAGGATAAATTGTGCGCATTTTAATTTAATTAATAGTGTGTGTGTGTGTGTGTGTGCGCGCGCGCTTTTTGTATTTCATTTGAGAATTCCATGAGAATAATAGAATTACGTCCTCGCGAATTGTGCATATATACGTGCCGACTTAAACGGAGCGGAGTTTAACAATGATTGTATCGAATGTGGATCATGGCTGGTTTCCCCTTTCAAACTGTAGCTCTACACAGCCGAGTAGCAGCTTTCATCGATCTCTACACTGAAATAAGCAGGATTTCAAACTTAATTTACGTCGGGAAATGACATTCGCGTCGCCACGTTTCCGCGAAACTCTTGGAAATCGCGTCGCGGAAATGCCCGGCATCAAGACTGGAAACAGGATAAATTACGAGTTTTCCGCTTACGGTCTCCCCTTCCCCCCTCCCGCCTCCCTATTCTACCTTTCCTTAACCTCGGCCTTTGTACGATTACGAATCCGCACGCCAGTTTCCATCCTACTTTCCCCTACGTGGCCCTGTACGTTAAATCAAACGTGATTTATCGTCTGATCGATTAGTCCGTCGAAGTTTCTACAGCGGGATTTCTCAACTGGCGAATGATGTCCACCATTTCTATCCGAAAATGGTATTACGAACTCCAATTACTTCGCGACAGTGTACCACGTCGGCGAACTGAGAAGCTCTTCTTCCTTCGCAAGCAAGCTTTGTACGTTTCAAACGCGTGTATTCAATTACGCGATCGCGCCTCGGAGAGCATGTCTCTCAATCGTATCGCGGAAATTCTAAGCCAATGAAAACTAAAATTACGTTTCAATTTTCTTCCTCCACTGGAATATCAAATGTTGCTTTTTAATAATTCCATAAAAAACTTGTATTATGTGGTTTTTTTCAATATGTTTTTCCCAAAAATTGTGTAATTATTGCACTGCAATAATAACAAACAGCTTTTTACAGAAAAATAATCATTTATTTCAAAAGGGTATAGAATTAAATATGTGATAATAAATGCATCGATACTTCCAAACCAAATTAATAATAATAATAATAATAATAATAAGGGAGACCGGGGCAAGAATTGGTACACGGTAACTGTTGTAAAAGTGATAAAATATAATACTGCATAAAAAATATAATATTTCCACAAAAACATTGCGGTAAATATTTCAATTCAATTAGTTATTTCAGGCTGAGTAGCGTAGTATTTTTACAAACGGAAGAAATGTTTTTAGTTTCGTACAGCCGCAAGTAAAATAAATCAGTGATATGTATTAAATGTTATATTTATATTATAATAAATCTGGTCATTATATCGTAATTTAAACTGTTTCTTTAGAATCTTTCAATAGCATGCGGCTATTGAAAAATTCTTTTGTTTATATTCCATTTATTAGTTACGTGTAAAAGAATCATTAACAAAAAAAAATACGTACCAAACTTGCCTCAGTCTCCCCTAATAATAAATGTATTATGTAAGATAATTTAAAAAACAACAACAGTGTACATTGTTTTCTTTTTGATATACCTCATAAGCACTCATTGTGGCACTGTTATACTCAGTGACAAGTAATACGTATATTTATGACAATGATATTTACCCACGGCGAACACTTAATCCTCATGGTATACAAGTTTCGCGGAAAGCAAACTTTACAAACTTCAAATGCGATGAGTAGGTTTCACCTCTCCGAAAATAAAATGTCTTTTAAGGTGCGTCCGTGCGTAAAGAGAAATTTGTCGACAATTCCTATCTCACCTCAACGCCCAGCGCACGGGGCGTTCGCAGACAGAGTCTTATCTCACAACAAGTAACCGTACCACAATGCATTCGCAACGCGCGCCGCCTATCGCGATTCAGTAAAATACGCGAGACGCGTACGGCTAATAAACGTCGACGTAAAAATCATTAGCAGGCAAAACATATCTCCGCGAAATGCGCTACCGCGCGGCGCTAGCCGCGCACAAAGGGACGTCTACTGTACCCGTACTCGGAATAATGCGTGAATGTTTCCATTTGATGACTAGATTTGAGTCGTAATGATGATGACGGTAAGACAAGAGAGTAACTTAATCATCGCTCTATACGCGTCCCTGGTAATCACAAAGATGATGTTAATTTCTGGTATCTAGTTAGGCAATCTTTCTTTTTTCTTCAGGTACAAATTTTCCTGCAAAAAGCACGACGTTTCTCCACAGATATCAACAAGAACAATCTCTTCCGCGCAATACCGTTTCCTTTAATATTTTAATAGTGTTTATGAGACAATAGTCTCGCTTAATGTAAGCAGGAAGGACAAAAGCGATTAGTTAAATTTAGTTAAATATGATTGATTATGCAGGATGTTTCATAATTTTATAAAACAAAAAAATTTTTCTTTCCTTTTTCTCTGGCAGGTTAAGGTGGTTAAGAGAAGGCAGTAATTCTAGAACGTCAATTCTTGCATGTCGCACAAAGATTATCCATATATCCCTTATCTATAATATAGTTCTTTATGTACTGGTCTCCTTAAGTTCAATGTATAATTCAGGTAAGTGCATTATATATATTAACGTGCATCTATCCCTCAAACGAGGCATAAAGGATTATTGGCTTTTCGTATAAGCCTTCTTCATCCGTCAGTCATGATAAGAGCTTTCGGGGATGTTAATTTGCCCTCCCGTGCTTTTCGCATATTAATATGTACTCCACATGCATATACACATTTGCTTTAAAGATATGTTATTCAAATGTAATTGTCTTAGATCTGCCGGGCCATCTTTCATTGAATTTTTTCATGTAAGGATTAAATCGAGCTCTTCTTAGAGATTTAATATAGGACCACCACTTTTTCCGGTAGTTTTTGAAAATTCAATTTTAATTTATATAGTAATCGTATCCAACGTATTAATCAAAATATAGGACAGATAATTTATTTTTACGTATTTAATCATTGGCATGGCATATCTCTCTAAATCGTTCTGTCAATGTTTATATTTTCACACGTTTGTACATTTTGAAAAAATAAAAATAAAAATAAATAAAATTTCAAAATATAGTCTTTCGCCCTAAAAAAGATTGATTCTTTAAGATAGCGTAACACTCGCGAGTGGCGCGCAACGTGCACGACTGAAATACAATGGCGGCGATTAATTTCCCGGGACGTTAGAGAGCATTTGGCACGTCTTTTCAGTCAGCGGTAAACGCGTGACACGAGAGAGGAGAGGGGGGGGGTGTTATTTCGTCGGTACGGCGAGCGAAATTCGTCTGTCTGCGGCACACGATTGTGTCCGAGAAGAGTCGCTCGGGAGCGCCCGGACGAAATTGCGCGGCGACGTGGCCGAGGTAGATAATAGCGCGATAGAAAACAGCTGATCCACTTTAAACGTCCTTTTTGTCTTAAAGCGTCCGCGGTAAACAATAATTCACGCTTAAACGCCCTTTCAGCGCCGCTTTCCCATTGTGCCGCGCGCGCTTCGCGTTCGGAGATTTATTTGTGCAAAACTTTTGTACAAGCGCCCGCGCGCCGGTCTTCCTTGATAGCGCGCGGTTTTCGCTATTTTGCTGCTGGGGCCACGGCGCAACAACAAAAGGCCGCCGCAAGGCTAAAACGGATGTCCCCGGGAGTATACCTGTGTGTATCCACGCAGGTATCCGCGCGCCTCGACGCGCGCACAATTAACTTAAACTCGACTACTGAATGACCCCCGACGAGACGACAGCTATAAATTACGTGGACCCAAGTTAAGCCACAGGTTAATTACGCTGCACGCGCTCTCCCCGTTGTGTTATCTGCATTGCATAAAAGAAAAAATAAGACGGATAGGTATTCTGTACCTCGAGTGCGTTCGCCGGCCGCGGCGAAAAAGTTTTGTATTTATGTAACAAGTTTGATGGCCGGCCGCAAACTCAGTCGGGGATGGACGATTTGTGATGGTGTGTGGCTCGACTTCTTACATTAATTATCGCCCGGCTACAACTACGGCGCTGTGTATCACTTTAGGCGACTTGATTTAAGGAGATACGCTTTTCGAAATTACGCTTTTCAACTTTCATAAGGGCCTGCATATCGCAAAGTAATGCAGTTCTCTCGTTATGCCCGTGCAGGAAACTTCGCACTTTACGCTTTCATCAGTATTAACTTAATGCAAAAGACTCACGTAAAAGAATATAATTCTGAAGCACGTCGGGATCGGTGCGATACAATGAATTTATTTTACGTTTTACAATTTCGTTATAACACTGCACTCGTAATCATGAATGTTATTCATTTTTTTGTGAAAATAGTAGCTAAAATGAAGCATACTAAATAAATGTACAAGTACGCAAATAAACATACGCGCGGAAATGAGTCATTTTTTATAACTGATGTTTTATTTTATTGGCAATAATAATATCCGACAGTGGCGACAGTTTATTCTCTCTGCAATAGCTGCACACACTTATCTGTCGTTTAATTTGCGCGAATGTAGTTTTTGTTTGAAGTATTTTGTGTGAAGTGGTATAACATACTATAAAATAAAAACGTAACGAAATCAACAGTTGTTGAAATTTGTTTCGCGTGCATCAGTTATCTTTCCATAAACGAGATCATTGCTATACATAAAATGCATAGTGACTAATTCGTGATTTATAAAAAGAGTCATTAAAAAAATAGAAATATTTTTTATTTTTATGATGATTCGCGTCTCAATATCTGTTCACCGAGAAATTCAAGCAAATTACATATTATATTACGTATCTCACGGATAACGGAGATAGCACGTACGGGTAATTTTATTTTCGTCCATTAATTATATCTCAACTAAGATCTAACAAGAAGATAATAATATTTCCTCTGATGCGAGACACGGTGTGACGCGATTTATTGAAATTCGGCGAACGCTCATGCACGCCGGTTAATGACGCAAATTATTATTTCGCGTGCCGAGCGAGCGGGTAACTAAAGGCCGAGTTTAAGGCGATTCCGGACCTCGCAAATTAATACTACGCGTACGCGCCATTGTATTAAGCAGTCTCTGCAGCTTTGTATCCTTTGTCAATACGATTTCTCGGGCTACCGGCCGCACACACCGCAGGATTCCGTAGCCGCGGCGCTCCGTGTTGACCGTAGTGTAAATCGATATCTCGAGCCCGTTCTTCAGATAGAGCGCTCGAGCGCGCCGTTTCACGAGATTAGTCCGGCGGCGCCAGGGTAAATCCCGAATACATTTGCGGGAAATGAGATCCACCGTGGTTCGCTATCTTCGCGCGTCCGGCCGGCCGGCCGCCTGCGTGTGCGCGGCCTTGGCTCAATTTATTTTTCCCTGCCCACTTAAAGCCCCCTACATTTTGCACCGAGGACGCGAGCCGCGATCTGTGCACATACCTCGAGAATAGCCACTTTCATCCGGCCGTAAATTATCACTTTCGCCCCCTGTCTTCGAAGCGGCGGCGGCGGCGGCGGGCGCTTATCGCGGAGTCTCGCACCGTCGCGTCGTCGCCGAAAGCGGTGAAAGATTCCTCTATTTTACGGACGAACGGATTACGATTCGATACGCCGAAGTTGTTGGGCGCGGGGAGCAAATGGCCGAACAAGCGCCGAGTGCTTTTTTCCCCCGATAATTAGCGTGATAAATCCCCGCGCGTGTGGGGTGAGCGTCGCGAGGAGTCCTTGGCGTTTCGCAGCGAGTTAGGTATCGGCCAGCGATGTCCGCGCATTCCGCTCGGACGAAGAGCGCTTCCCAGGAAGGGAGAAATTACATTCGCCCTTGAATGCGCGGAATTATCGTGTTACTATTCCGGCTACACCACCGGCGATTTTCAATTGACTCGGAAGCCGCGCGCCATTAGACTCTTACGCGGATACAGGTAAATAGCCCTCGTCCAACACCTGCCAGTCGAAGGTCAGCGATAATGCTTCGGTGAGAAGAGACTCGGACTATATATATCGCATCCGGCACTCGCGATTATTCACGGCCCGACTGTGGGAGTTGTCGCGTGAAATTAGATCACGACGCGTGAACTTTCTAGGACAAAAGGGCTTCTAATGGCGAGTCCGTACGGTACGCACTCGAACCGGAAACTATTAGACGTAAATGCGCGTGCTGAAGGGTATAATTCCCATGTCGTCTGCATTCAGACAGATCCTATACAAATCAAGAAGAGAGAGAAGCTCTTCGGACAATAGGGTGTAATGTACACGAAAAATCAATATCGATGATGCATTAAAATGCGGAAATTTTACCTTAGTTTTCACATCAATATTCTTCAACTTGAAATTTATTGTCTGTACGTGTTTTTTTATTAATATAAATTATAATTGATCGCGATAAAGAGTAACGCACATTGGCAGGCCAATTAAAATCCGAGAGAAGAAGTTTTCAATATTTTCAAAGCGAGACTTTTCTTTCTTGTTTTAAGAACAAATTAGTTTTAACGTTCGGTATGAGATAACAATGAGTACCATTCATTAGAAACTGATTAATGACGTAATGAAGAAATCTGAGTGTAACAAAACCGTCTCGTATACCTTGTCCTGAATAAACTCGTGTCCTAGTTTAAGAGTTAATTAAAATAGTTCTCTTTTCCCGCAAGTAATGGATTTGTGATTAATCCTCGCTTTTCTCTTCTGACAAATCATTCATTAGGTTACATAAATCTATCTTTATTATCCTATCAATTCGTTGCTTTCATTTTGAGGTCATTCAAGGTAAAGAATCATTAAAGTCACCGCGCGGGGGTTACTCGTCCGATCTCCTATCATTTTATCTCTGATCGTATTTATTCAATCACAAGTTTTTTCCAAAATTCGTTTCATTATCCGCAGAAATCGTCTATTAAGAATCCTGCGAGATAAAGTGTTTTCTATGCCGATGAAGACCGTTTAAGGAGTGAAACAGGCGAGAGGGAAATCTCTTCTTTCGCGGAAGGATCTTATCGATTTAATTAACGCATCCACGACAATCCGACGAACGCCGTTCGTCCGTTAGCCCGAGAAGAGGCAGTTTTTATCCCATCTTCGCCATTATGCGGCGCGCCGTTGATGCCGGCGCGGCTTGCCCCGTACGAACCGGGAGCCGGGCATTATGGGCGTCATATTTTCCGCGGCGGTCCATTGTGCAGCCCCGCGTACGACGTGCAACGTGGAATATGCATATGAATGACCATGCAGATTCGCCGTTTGTTTTATTATCTTGGAGCGCTCGTAAGTGTATCTGCATTATGCAACGACTAATAGGGGTAATGGGCAACGTGATTACCGCCAGCACCGCGCATTACTTTCGGCTCATACTTCCCCGCACTCATTCTGTTACGAGAACGGAATGAACGTACCGCGTTTTAACATTAAGCAACCTGATATGTCGGGCGATCGCCGCGCCGCTTAAAATTTTCTTTCGCCCGCCTTAAAAGTATTTATCGTCGTCGTATTACGCCGCGCCGCGCCGCGCCGCTCCGTCCGGGGAGTCGGGCTGTGTTTCGGGATTACCAGGCGAGACCTCGATTGTCGGTAAATATACGCAGATGAGATTCAGAATTGTTTTGCATAAACTAGTTTAATTAAAGTACTTTAAATTGTTCCCGTGCGGAAATTCGGAATCGGATCTTTACATCCCGCGATTCCTCGATCCCCTCTTTCTCGCCTTGGAGAAGGTGCTCGATACGTGGGGATATCTTGTACGAGACGGCGATTACTGAGTTTGCGATTTTAATGATTAACTTAATAGATTAACGTTTCGCAATCGTGGTTATACCCTTATTAATAAATGTCTCGAGAGAAACAGCCGCTTTTCGTCCTCTTAATCAATGAAATAACGATTCACTTACATGCTTTGCTGCGCAGATCCCAGATTTTTAAGGTCCGATCATAACTTCCCGTAACTACTTTCGACGGCTCGCCGAGAAACTTCGCCGCCATCACCTTCGCGCAGTGGCCCGTGAGTGTATGCTGAAACAAAAATATAAAAATTTATTTGTGTGAATCGCTATCTCGAATATAGCGTAGATAAAATACGGGTACACATGTAGGTCAATATATAAAATGAAAAATATCTATCACATGCCGGTTGAATAATCTATCTGGTTTGGCAAATATTTTTTAATAAAAAAAAACAAAATATTATTTTAAGATTTTTCCTCCTAATTAATTTCATGAATTAATTTTAACAATCAAACAATATGTAATATGATAAACTAATATACAGACGTTTTATTTAAAATAGTTAATCTCAAGTTCAACATTTAAACCTTCTTAAAAGTAATCTTATTTTTATTTTATTTATTTTAATATATAATTAAACACGCTTGCGATAAATAAATAGCAAAATCTATTATGTTTCACGCGAAACAAGTTCCGACTAAAACACGAGTTATAAAAGGCAATTAAAATATATTATTCGCGTCACGAATTCGCCCTCCGTTATAAACTATTTTGTTTAAATACAATTTGAAAGCGCCGGAGTCATTGGCGCTTTGCAACTGAAGTCCTGAACTTTAAACAGGGACTTGTTAGATCGAGCACCGGCTTTCATAAGTTGATTTTCTCTCTCCTACTTTCGAGTTTAGCTCTCTGCTCCGAGCATCGACGTGTTCGAAATGAGAAATGAATGTAGCTGCAAGGGGCGGAAGCGGACCGACGGTATAAAGCGTGCGTTTTCCAACGGAATGGTACGTCATCCTTTAACGGTAACAAGAAAAGAGTTCGATTTCATTATTACCTTCATATTGAGAGTTGAACAAGAAAACTCTCGACTGGCGGACTGTTTCCCTTTATATTCCCGATATTTCGCTTATGAACACTCGAACGCGATATGGATTTATCAAAAATTACATCAGCGGAGAGGCTTAAGCGCGACCGTAACGACCGTCGCGATGAACGTAATATACCCAGGTATTACGATTGAAAATATTGCTAAATATATCCCGAGGGATATTTGTTGCCATTGACATGACATATGTCAACGACAGTTGTTCCGTCTCTCTTTACCTCGAGCATTTTTACGCGAACGAGCATTAAACTCATACGTTGACGTCCATGGCGGCGGCCCATTTTACGAGCAATTTTTTTTTTCGATCGCGAGCTATACGCCCGATATATTCTAGGGTTCTCTTATCAAAGTTTTTGGGAGCGATATACGTTCGATGAATGGTTCTCTATATTTTTTTCACAGCGCGATCCCGAAAACGCCGAGTCTTTCAATTCGAAACAGAATTTGTTATCTCTCGTTTATTTATCCCGCTCGTTTATTTATGCAAAACATCGCTTTCTCTCTCTCTCTCTCTCTCTAGAGCGTAAATCACCATGGCAGATATTAGCTGTACATTACTGTAATCATAAGCGGGAAGTGTATCGGAATATTCAGCATAAAGTTAATTACGTTTAGGCGTTTCTTAACGATCGCTTGTCGATTAGGAATTTGCCAGGGGATGGCAATGGCTACTATCGGGCCGGCTACTTTACGAGTGAATAAATTTTTCAATGACAGCATGTGTATCGTGCGTTATATATATATATATTTATCGTATCCCCGCATTAATGGCGCAAACTGCTAATGAAATTTCAAGGATGATATACGGAGTTCTCATGCCCCAAGACCGCGCGGCTTAATGGACGGAGGGGGGTAATTCAAAAACAGGCGACGAGCTAATATCAGAGTCCGAGTTTTACGAGTTAATAAATTACTTAGCAAGGGAGGGCGATGCATTCTTTGTTTCAATGTTGACGCAACGTATTTGCGACGTGCGTGTCTACGACGGCGATAAAATTATCGAGTGATATATGTAGCACTTATACGGTTACGTAAACACCCGTTGAATCTAAAGAGTAACAGCGATATCGACGAGTCGCTTTACAAATCAATCAAGTCGCGCGACCGGGACCGCCACCAGGCGTGATTTAATGACCGCCAGCACCTTGCCTTCCGCGTGCACCGCGCTTGCACATCTCGTCGTTAAATTGAAATTCTGAAGTTATCTCATATACGCTCCGCTCGTTCCTTTTTCTACCGTCGCGTCGTCGTTTAATGGTGAAGAATTCAAGCGTGACGTCGGACAAGGGATGGCGGCGCGCGGGAAAGCGACTCAAGGGCTCTCTTCCCGTGTAAGAGAGAAGAGACATTAAAAAGAAGACTTCGCCAATTTAAGGTGCGCGGCGCCGGGAGCTAGCACGCTCTTGAAAAATGTCCTAATGTAAATTAATGGCCCGGAAGTTTAGCTGGAAGGGCTATAACGTGAAAGAAACACAGGTAGAAGTGCGCCGGGCGGCCCACCCTCGCTCGGCCTTATACGAGCCTGCAAGGAGAACTTTACCCTCTTCCGCGAAGAGAGGAAGGAGGAAAGAGGCACCGAAGAAAGTGCACCATAATCTAGGGTCTCGAGAACTTTGCCGAAAGTGCGACGGCGAGTCCACATTTCTTCCGTACGTTAAACGGCTGAATGGACTTTACTTTCAATCGCCCTTGTGTCCTGTTAAGAATGACACTGACACAACAGGGACGCGAAAGAATGTGCTCTTTTCAAAATTTTCGTGAAAAGTGGACACATATTTCTACTAACGACTAGAATACTTGACTAGATACTAAAACACATGAAAGTTAAAAACTTTTTCTAAAATATTTAAGAAAATTAATTTCAGTGTTGCAACAAATTTTCCGTAAAATTCTTTCTTATTTAGAAGAAACTTGTGTATCGAACTCAAGCAAATACTTTTATAAAGTTTAATCTTGTTCGGCAATATATTTTGAAATTCGTTTCTTAATACACAAATTTTCTTTCAAGATTTTTATGATGTACATACATACGTACATGTACACATGGAGCTTTTTACGAGTAAACTTTTTGAAAAAGTAGCTCAATTTATTGCACACTTCTAACGTTTTACAACTGTGCTCTTTCTTGCTTTCTTACAATGAAAATTTTTTCCCTGTATCTTACAGTTTCTAAACTCTAATACTGTTATCTCGAAAGGAACTTTAAATTTCGACTTAATGAAATAAAAATCAATATTGTTTCTGTTGTTCTACTTTCTAATTCTTAATTTAACAAATAATAGTTTAATATAAAAAATCATTAAAAACAAAACGTAACTTGAAAATTTCTATATAATGAAAACCAAACAATATAGTTTATATTAAAACTTTAACTAAAGTACGCTTCGATTTTTGATAATCTTCAAAATTGGGACTATAATATTAACACGTAAGCAAATTACAAGTTTCGGAGCGATACATAAGTCTTTTATTGTAATGAATATATGAATGGAAATGTGTCTTCTATCTCTCAGGCTATTCTCAGGAAAGCAACGGAAGCTATTCGAACATTCAATAATTTCGCGTAACAATGTAGTAACTTTGTTCCATGCCATGCAAACACGGAGGTAATTCGAGATTACGGGGCAAAATGCGGAGCACGCGACCGCAGGTGGGAAGTTTATTAACGCGAATATTCGAAAAGCCGTCGTAATCCGGCGGATCCTCGGCATACGGATTACATTTCTTTGGTGACGAGTTCGAAGGACCGCGCGTAAACGAATTTCGCGAAGGACGAACTTATCCAATCACGTATCCGCGATAATACACGGTATATTCTCACGTACGCGATGCTTAGCGCGCGTAAATATATATTACGTATCCGTCGTATATAGTAATATTATCGTGTGACATATAACATCCGAAGTACGCGCATCAAAGAAGGAACGATAGAGCGCTTTAGAAACGTCAAACGCAACCGGGGAAGCTCTAACAATCCGCGTGCGACGCGGTTTTACGTTGGCGTCTCCGGGAGTACTTTGCCGTCGTGCATAAACTCGAAAGACGACCAAACGACGTCAATCCGCTCAGATGCTAAATGTTGAACGCCCACAAAGCCGAACTCTGAAAGCAGCGTCTCCGGTGATTGTGGGAAAGATTCTGATTTCCAGGGGAACGACCAATAATTTCCAAAATTCATATACTGAATTTAAATTTGATTCTCTACACGGAATATTTCCAAGTGACGCAAAAATGGCTTTTCGCGAAAATTGGAAGTAGGTATATAAAAAAATTAAAGAATAGAGAAAAAATGATTTCCAACCAATTTGTATTCAGAAAAAGATTGATTTCAATATCGCCAAAGAATTTGTAAGGTAAATGTACCAATACCGGAACACTTAAGACCTATATATGTCTGGACACCTTTATCATTTTAGTTTTTAAATAAGTATAACGCGAATTAAAATCAAAGATAATAATATAATACAAGAAAAATATTCTTATCTTTGATTCTTTGATTTTAATTCGCGTTAGAACTTATTTAAAAACTAAAATGATAAAAATGTCCAGACATAGGTACGTGTCCAGGCATTGGTACATTTACCTTAATAAAGATAAGGAGAAATGCGAGACGTATGATGCGTCGTTCCTATAAAAATTTTATCATTTTCTAAAAGATTATCATATGTGAATGACAGAACAGTAGAATAGTAGAAACACACGAATTGCATGCCGAGGGAGATTCCTTCGTCCGACATCCGCGCGGCAGGAATCGGCCTGGGAAGGTACACACCGGAGTTTGAGGGCTACGCGGTTGATATCGTCTTTTTACGATGCACCAAGTTCCACTCGTGTGGTGTATGTATATACACCTGGTGTGTTCCTGCCAGCGCAATAAAAGCATAAACTTCTTCATAGTCCTATAGTGCTCCATCGAGGGCACGGAACAGTAACGCCGGCTAGCCGGAGAAAAAGAGAGCGGGAGAGTGACGAGTGAGATCCCTCAAGTTATACGGGGGCTTCAATTAAAGTCGGTAAAAAGAGGCGGCGGGGAAGCTTCCTGGAAAGCAACTAGCGACCCATGTTTTATGGCCGTTGAACGCTCGCGCTGAAGCTATACGCGCGGCGCGATTCGCCACCGAAAACCGTTTCCGAGGGTGGTCGAATGTGTTCGGATAATGCTTATTAGTCATCGCGCTAG